AATTTATATTCATTAAATAAAAGATTAAAAAAAAATCTATTTTATCTGAACAGAAACAACAGAAACTACCAGCATTTCACTAGAAGATGTAAGAATTCAGGAATTGGGGGCCGGTGCCGTGGAGCAGCTGTTAAAGCTGCCGCCTATAGTGCTAGCATCCCATATGGGTGCCAGTTCAAGTCCCAGGTGCTCCACTTCCAATCCAGCTCCCTGCTATGGCCAGGGAAAGCAGTAAGAGATGGTCCAAGTCCTTGGGTCCCTGCACCCATGTGGGAGACCAGAAGAAGCCCCAGGCTACTGGCTTTGAACTGACATAGCTCCAGCCGTTGTGGCCATCTGGGGAATGAACCAGTAGATGGAAAACCTCTCTGTCTTTCCCTCTCTATCTCTCTGCCTCTGCTTCTCTGTAACTCTGCCTATCAAATAAATAAGTAAATCTTTTTAAAAAAAATAGAATTTGGGAATTAAATAAGCAAACAGGTGATCCATTATACATCTGGGAAGAACAGAATAGATTAAAAATAAATTTTACAACTCAGGAGTATTCAAATTTTTCACTCAAATTGTAATTTTATAAGAAATTTGATTTTTAATACATCAGCAAAAATATTTCTCAGGCTAAATAAGTATATTTTACCTTTCTTTAAATGTATCTAATTAGACTATCTCAATGTATTCACTGCATGGAATTTAAGAACAATCCTTACCTTCTCCCCGTCTTTGGCCTTGCTTTACCCTTTGAAGTCCGTGGCCTTTCTAATTTCATCAAAGACTGACGCAGACTCTCCTCAGTATAGGCAAGATACACATGGGAAAGGTCCACTTCGAAGGGCTGAAGGAAAGAAAGAAACAAAGCACTCTCACAGCAGAGTTAAATCAGATTTGGGGGCAAACTTTAAATACTGAAAACATTTCTAAAAAACAACATAGAAAACAAAAGCAAACAAATATCTAAAGACATCTTCAAGTCCCAATATCTATAAAATGTTCAATATGGATGGGAATTGTGGTGCAACAGGACATCTGCTTTCCATGTTGGAGTACTTTGGTTGAGCCTTGGATACTCAGCACTTCTAATCCAGCTCCCTGCTAATGCCCATGCCATCCAGGTGGAAGACCCAGATGCAGTTCCAGGCTGCTGGCTTCTGCCTAGTCTAGCCACAGCTGTTGCAGGCATTTGGGGAGTGAACCAGCAAATGGAAGATTCTCTCTGTCTCCCATCTCTCATCCTGCCACTCTGCCCTTCAGGTAAATAAATCGTAAAAACTGGGGCCAATGCTGTGGTACAGTGGGTTAAGCCACTGTCTACAGGGCCAGCATCCCACATGAGCACCAGTTCGAGTTCTGAGTGTTCCACTTCCAATACAGCTCCCTGCTGGTGTGCCTGGGAAGGCAATGGAGGATGGTCTAAGTGCTTGCACCCTGCACCCACGTGGGAGGCCCAGAGAAAACTGCTGGCTCCTGGCTTCAGTCTATCTCAGACCTGGTCATTGTAGCCATTTGGAGAGTGAATTGGTGGATGCAAGATTGATCTCTCTCTCTCTGTTTCTCGCTGTAACTCAGACTTTCAAATACAATAAATAAATCTTTAAAAAATGTATTCAACAAAAGTTTGGTGAATAAGAAGCCCTGACACACTATAACTTCCTTAAAGGTAGAGAAAAAGTGTTGCCATTTTCCCTAAAGCTACTCCCTCATCTTGGTGACCCAGGATCAGAACTAATTTTGAAAAGAAAGACTCATTGTACTTTCTAACCACAGCCCCATTGCCTGGAAAGGTGGTGAAAGGAGAACTCCAAAGAAGGACTTTCTGTTAGTCTTCTGGTAGAAATGGTAAGTTTCCCATTATGATTGACAGGACTAATAATTACCCAATCATAGAGCAACTATTTCCAAAACATTAGTCATTTTCAAATACAGCCTATTAATAGATACCAGGCTAATAACACAATTTAAGGATCCATTTCTATAAAGAAGCAACTGTATTTTTTTTTTAAAGTAATCTTACATCTTTCTCCTTTTTATCAGGTACTGGAGTTTGCTTCCTCATGTTATTCCCTGTGTAGGCAACACATTTCTCAAAAAAAGAAAAACAGAAGGGAGAGAAATGTCATAATTAGTAATCAATACTATAATCTAGGTAAATTACTGCGAGATACACTGAAGTTACACTAGTAAGACAGAAAAGGACCCAAAACCATTCAGCCCACATAAGGCATGGACTCCTGCCTGCTCTCTGTGTTATGGTCAATTAGAACAACATCCCATCCACATACTGGATTCTTATCTGACTCACACTCTGGAACTTCTCCCTCCCCATGGTAGCCAGCACAACTCCTAGCAGAGGAAGGACTTCAGCAGTACCTCATGAAAGGTGCAACACTCACCAACTGCCATTCTCCAATGTCTTCATTCCAATGGACATAATTTTCAATCATTTCCTTTAAAAAGAGTCAAAACCAGCCTATATTTAATGCTTAATAACACTTAAAATATTGAAAAATATTCATAGTACTTTTAATAATGTAAATGATGACAGTTAAATCTTGGAATGGGCATTTTGCCTAGCAGGTGAGATGCCCACGTTCTACTCTGGCGCACTTGTGTTCAATTCTCAACTCTGGCTCATCACTCCAGCTTCCTGCTGGTACAGACCCTGAGGGGCTGCGGAAGAGGCTCAAGTAATTTGGTTCCTGCAATTGGAAAACCTGCTTGTGCTCCTGGTTTCCAGCTTTGGCCCTTGTCCAGACCCCAGTCATTGCAGGCATCTTTGAAGTTAATCAGTGGATGGGAGCACACAACCTTGCCCCCTCCCCATATATAAATTCTTTTAAAAATGTTAAGTCTTAGGGGCCAGCACTGTGGCACAGTGGGTTGGAGTGCTGACATCAACGCCAGCATCCCATATGGGTGCTAGTTCAAATCCTGGCCACTCCACTTCCAATCCAATTCCGTGCTAATGCACCTTGGAAAGTAGTGGAAGATAGCCCGAGTACTTGGGTCCCTGTACGCACGTGGAAGACCTGGATGAAGCTCCTGGCTCCTGGTTGCAGCCTGGCCCACCCCTGGCCATTGCAACCATTTGGGGAGTAAACCAACAGATAGAAACTCTCGCTCTCTCTCTCTCTCTCTCTCTGTGACTCTGCCTTTCAAATTAATTAATTAATCTTTTTTTTTTTTTTTTTAAAGCTAAGTCTCAGGGCAGGTGCTATGGCATAGTGGGCTAAGTCACCTCTTAGGATCGCCTGCGTCCCCTATCAGAGTGCCAGTTCGAGTCCCAGCTACTCCACTTCTGATCCAGCTCTCTGCTATGGCCTGGGAAAGCAGTAGAAGATGGCCCAAGTCCTTGGGTCCCTGGACGTGTGTGGGAGACCTGGAAGCAGCTCCTGGTTCCTGGCTTCAGATCGGTGCAGCTCTGGCCATTGCAGCCAATTGGGGAGTGAACCAGTGGATAGAAGACCTCTCTCTGTCTCTCTTTCCCTCTCTGCCTCTCCTCTCTCTGTGTAGCTCTCTCGAATAAATAAATCTTTATAAATAAATAAATAAAAGAAATCTTAAAAAAACAACAAGAACTAGTCTCCATAAGCAGGGAGAAATAGCACAAGGGTTTTATTTATCCTACTTACATGATAAAGGATTTGAATTAATATGAATAGGACTTACACCTTAAGTCTAAACTGACACAAACCTGAGTTCCTCCAAAGAGCTGAGAAATTCCTATTTGGATACTTAGACACTCAGAGAGAGTTCCATATTAAAAAAATTAACAACTAAAATAAAGCTCGATGGCACTCATTCTGTAAAATTTAGGGGCAATAATGAAGTGTAAATATTTACCATCAATGACCTTAGAAATTAAATTTGCTTGTTTCTTAGCCCCAGTCAACCCCTAGTAACCATCTAGGTGAGAGAACTTTTCACATACCTGATAATCCTGAGGTATAAAATTATCAATAATAAGCATCTGAAGTCGAAGCTCTCGGCTTAGTTGCCGGATATTCTCCAATAGGCCTTCTATTTCCCTCTGATGTTCTTGCTGAAGATCAGCCATCTACCAGAAAATTCATGGAAATATTATTAATAAGCAAGATGTTAAACACAAAATAGTTACACATGACCGAGGAAACTGATTCAAGAGGCCTTGTGAGACCTTACCCAGTTCTTATACAAAATTATGGATAGAAAATGGGGCTGGCGCTGTGGCGCAACAGCCAGCATCCCACATGGGCACCATTTCGAGTCCCAGCTGCTCCACTTCTGATCCAGCTTCCTACTAAGGCACCTGGGAAAGCAGCAGAGGATGGCCCAAGTGCTTGGGTCCTTGTACCCATATGGGAGACCTGGTTAAAGCTTCTGGCTCCTGACTTCAGCCTGGCCCAACCCCGGCCGTTGTAGTCATTTGGGAAGTGAAGAGGTACATGGAAGATATCTCTCTCTCTCTCTCTCTCTCACTCACTCTCTCTCTCTCTAACTTGGCCTTTCAAATAAACAAACAAATAAATAAAATCTTTAAAAAAAAATATGGGTAGAATGACACTACCTCCATCTATTCATATTATTAGTTAAGGAGCAAAAGTTTAAAAGCTAAAATTAGTTTAATAGTTACAATTAAAAATTAAACATAAAGGAAAAATTTTATTTCATTAAAATCAGAAGCACATATTAAACTTACTTACACACTTTTTTTTTAAGATTTATTTATATATTTATTTGAAAGTCAGAGTTAACAATAAAAGGAGAGACACAGAGAGGGCTTCTACTCACTGGTTGACTCCCCAAGCAACCACAACAGCCAGGGATGAACCAGGTGGAATCCAGGAGCTTCATTTGGGTCTCCCACCTGGGTGGCAGGGTCTCCAGCATTTGGGCCATGTTCTGCTGCTTTTCCTAGGCCATTAGCAGGGAGCTGGACAAGAAGTTGAGCATCTGGGATTCAAATCAGCACCCATGCAGGATGCCAGCATAGCAGTTGGTGGCTTAACCTGGTCACACTACAACACCTGTCCCTACTTAAGAATTTTTACTCAACAAAACTTCTGGGGTGGCATTGTGGCAGAGAGGGTTAAGGCTACCAGCAGCAATGCTGGAATACCATATGAGTGCCGGCTTGGGTCCTGGTTGCTCCACTTCCAATCCAATTCCCTGCTAATGTACTTGGGAAAGCAGTGGAAGATGGCCCAAATGTTGGATCCAATACCCATGTGGGAAACCCAGATGGAGTTCCTGATTCCTTGCTTCAGCTTGGCCTAGCCCTAGCCATTGCAGCCACCTGGGGAATGAACCAGTGGATGGAAGATCTATCTTTTTAAACTGTCTTTCACATAAATAAATAAATCTCTCTTTAATCATATTTATTTATTTATCTGGAAGACAGAGTTGGAGAGACAGAGAGACAATCTTCCATATGCTGGTTCACTCTCCAAATGGCTATAACAGCTGGGACTGGCTCAGGCCTAAGCCAGGAACTTCATCTGGGCCTTCCATGTGGGTGCAGGGACTTAAGTACTTGTGTCATCCTCTGATGCTTTCCCAGGCACATTAGCAGGGAGCTGGATCAGAAGGGGAGCAGCCAGAATTTGAACCAGCATCCATATGAGACACTGACATCACAGGCAGTGGCTTAACCCACTTTACTAAATGCCAGCACAAAATAAATTTTTTTAAAAAAGGGACTCCTTTTTAAAAATTCAGAATTTTACTTGAAGGTAATGTTTCTCGCCTTTATTTGAGAGGCAGATAGGCAGAGAGAGAAGGACAGACAGACACACAGAAGAGAGTGCATTCTCTCATCCCCGGGATCACTCCCCAGACGCCTGCAACAGCCAGGACTGGGGTGCGCAGGAGCAGGCAGCCTGGGATTAAATCCAGGTTTCTCACATGAGTGGCAGGTACCCAACTACTGAAGTCATGACTTCTGCCTCTCAGGGTTAGCATTCGCAGGAAGCTGGAGTCAGGAGCTTGAGCTGGAATCAACCCGGGCACTCTGATGTGGGATGAGGTATCTCAGCCTCTAGGATAAACAACTGCCCCATAAGTAATTTCTAAGAGACTGACCTCCGACTTTGCAGCCATCAGCATTGTCCACACTTTCTTTAATTTCTTGGTCTTTCCCTGTGCTTCTTCTTGCAAACTGGTATATTTTTCTTCAATATCCAAGCGTTCTTGCTATGGCAAAAATTGGTAATCTTCACAAATTTTTTTGTTAAATCACAAATTCAGTTTTTTTACAAATCATATGCTCAGCAATTACTAACTTCAAAGCAATCTATAATTCTGCTTTAAAATTTCATTAAGAAAATAACTATTTAGCTTTTTATTTAAGAAGTTAAATAACTTAGGTAAAGTATTGAACTAAGAACACAAAGTCACATCACCTCTTTCTCCTCGAGTTCTTTGCGAAGTTGCTCTGCTCTTTTCCTCCTTTCTTCCAGCTCCATATTAGATTCTTCAAGAAGTTTTTCTTGTTCTTCAGCTTTGGCCAACAAATCAACACCACCAACAATGACCTTCTTCTCCAGTGCAGATAATTTTTCCAGCAAAGACTGATGCTCTTGTCTGTTGAATAAAATCAGAGTATTTTAGGGGCCATCACTGCGGCATAGTAACAGCGCCACCTGTGACACTGGCATCCCAAATGGGCACCAGTTGGTATCATGGTTGCTCTGCTTCTAATCCAGGTACCTGCTAATGGCCTGGGAAAAGCAACAGAAGATGGCCCATGTGTTTGAGCCTCTGCCATCCACAAGAGAGACTCAGATGAGGCTCCTGGATCCTGGCTTCAGACTGGCCCAGTGCTGGCCTTGGTGGCTATCTGGGGAGTGAATCAGCAGATGGAAGATTGATCTCTGTGTGTCTCTAATTCTGACTTTGAAAAATAATAAATCTTTTTTTTTAAATGAGAATCCTTTATATTCAGTATTGTACACTGTTCTCCTGATTTCATTTCCAAAAATTTAACAAGAATTTGAATCACAATTTCAAAACAGAAATATAATTATTTAACATCTCTAACAAATTATACCACTGGGTAGTATTAATTCAGGACTCAATCCATAATTCAAATTCACAGATTTTTTTTTTTTACTCCCACACAGAGATGAAATAATGAAAACAGAGCTAATCTTAGAAATATATCACATACAATAGGATCTTCTATCTAAAACAGTAACACTGGAGATAAAAAATAAAGCTTTTCATTACTATTAAATTTTCCTGCTTATATATCCTATGAAAAACACTAGAAATTTAGATCACAAACCCATCTCAATTTAATAATACTCACTGGGCTTTAAGAAGATCTTTTTCCCGTTTTTCTAATTCAGCTCTAGCCTTGTTTCTTTCTTCTTCTTCCATATCAAGCTTTGTTTCAAGTGCTTTTCTCTCCTCATCAATTTTTGCTTGCATTTCAACCATCTTATCTGGGGAAACTTTCTTTTTACCTATTTGAGTCATTCAATTGCAACAATCACTAAATTAGTCACTGTTTTAGACTTATAAATTATCTTCAGTTTAGAAGTGCCTATACTCCTCAGAAACACAAAATCAAATATCAGCATTTTAAAGAAATCAAACCAATAATACCCTTCATTTCTATTTGTTATGTTTTTACAATAACTTTTTAACTCATTGCTACATTCAAACTATTATCCAATTGTGCCATGATAACTAAGAAGAAAAGTATGAGAAAGAGAAGCAAAATAGATGAGCAGAAACAAAAGGGAAATAAAGATAAACAGAAAAGTCAAACAAAAAATTTTTGTTCCCCAACATTAAAAAAATCAAAATGATTCTTCAATTACTTTTTCCTGATAACCAAGCACAAAATCAAGCAGCTTCTCAAAATATCTTCCCCAAAACCACATAAAGTATATAAGTCAAAGTTATATAAAAGTATAAAATGCACAGATAAAAATATCAGACAGAATTCATATGAAACAGTTTTTATTTTTCAGAGTTTTCTAAAGTTTTTATTTAATAAAATTACTTAAAAAGTACTTTATTTAATAAATATAAAAAAAAAGAAATTCTACACTAATTATACAACAGTTACATAGCAATGACCAGGTAACTCACAGGGGGTAAGCTGTCATGCTAGATCATCATAATCTAAACGAATAACTAAAATAGCTTGTTCTTATGCCAACTCAGGATCCTAAGTCTTCCCTAAGTCAGACTAAATATGCTAAGTACTGGGACCGGCACTGTGGGTAAAGCTGCCGCCTGCAGTGCTGGCATCCCATATGGGTACTGGTTTGAGTCTCAGCTGGTCCACTTCTAATCCAGCTCTCAGCTACGGCCTGGAAAGGCAGGAGAGGATGGCCCAACTTGGGTCCCTGTACCTGTGTGGGAGATCCAGAAGCTACAGGCTTCTGGCTTTGGATCAGCCCAGTTCCAACCACTGTGGAGTGAACCAGTGGATGGCTTCTCTCTCTGCCTCTGCCTCTCAGTAACTCTGTATTTCAAATAAATACATAATCTTTTAAAAAATATGCTAAGTGCCAAATATCAGTAGAAACACTGCTAAATAAAAAACCCGGAATACAGCTCCCATGGATTATTTGGATTATAATGTCTATCAGAGTGTTTTATACATATTTAATTGGTGGATGGATGAAAGTTTATTGATGAATTTCAAAATTCTGAAACTCAAGAGAAAATGAAAACTGGCTTATTAAGCTAGTTCTGAAAACAGAATCAAAGACCATTCATTTCTAGTAACACAATTTCTTAGAAACAGACATTCCCTCAGAAACCCAAACCTTTCATGGAATTGGTCTGAGGCTCTCCTGAAATCTGTCATTTTTAATTTCTTTCCCAAAGGACCATAGAAGAAGAGATATACCAGCAGAGTTTATAAACTGTTAATGTCTCCACTCAAACTCCAATTCCTCCTGCTAGCAAGGAAAAAGAACTGAAAAATAATTATGATGGAGATACATATCTGAATAGATTCTTTCAGGAATCATGAGATAAAGAATGACTCAAAGGCTTTAACTCTTTAGGACAAAAATATAGTCTAAAAAATCCACTACCCTTCATCTCTACAGAGCTGTTAAGTCCAAAGCAAATCTAAGCCATAAAACAAATTAAATAAAAGTAAATAAAAGCACTGATCCAAATTCATGCTCTGGTATGGTGTGATTCATTGCATTCCAAAAGCCAGGATGTAGACCTGATTCTGTTGGTTTGTTTGGCACAGTCACTTGTATCAAATCTGATACAGTCAAAAAAACTTTTTTTAAAAATAATTTAATTCCTATTCCCAAAGGAATTCCTAGACAGGATTTCCCATCAGTATTACTATTTCTTAGAAATTTAAGGGAGGACAGTATATGCTTAGGTATATAATAAGTGCATGCATTTAAAAAACTGTAACTTCCTTTTTGTTTCAGATAAGTATTTAAAGAAAATGTTAAGGCAAAAATAATATATATATATTGACATATATTTTAATGGTATAGAGAAAATTAACAGATCAACTATACAAACAAGAATTTTTAGGCTTCTAATTGCTTTGTTAATAGTTAAGAAGTTTCAAAACCCATTAGGAGACAGTAAAACAAAAAGATTTTTAATGCAGAAGTACAAAACCACATGGCTATTGATGATTTAATACTAGGTAATTCAGTTTAGTAACTCAAAACCATTCAGGTAATTTTTTCAAACTGATGCTTTAGGAGTAAAAATCTTACCACCCTCTTATAACAGTTTCATAACGATCACACAAATGCTTCTAGGATTAGTTTAAGTAATATATTACTCTAGGCAAGCATCAGTTTGGCAAATCACTGTACTGCTTCCCAAATAATATTTTAACTAAATGTCAATATGCACCAACTCTTCAAACCAGGCATTTAAAAATGTTGCAAAAGTTAAAAGCCACTTTCATTAAATATTTTTTAATTCTGCATGACAAAAAAAATCAGTGAAAAATTTCAAGTAAACGATTAAAAAGTTAATGGTGTAAAGAACCTTTAATTGAGTCAAACAGAACTAGTGACATTTTAACTGTCCATGGCCACGTGCTCTAATAAAACTGTGAAGGTCAACTGGCCAAGGAAAGGACAAGGGAAGAAACTCAGGGAATACAGGGTGAATGAATGGGACTTTTATCGCAGGAGCACCACGGGCACAGGATATCAGGCATCTGACTCCTGACTTTCAGAGAAAATGTTTGACTATGAAATCATTTACATTTGTACTGCCAAAATCTGGTTTAATACAGCTTTAAGAATTTATGAATAAAGGAAGCTTTTTCTTAAAAAAAAAAAAAGCTGACACCAAAAGATTTTTTAAAATATAAAAGATGGATACTTACCTTGTAAAAAAAGTATTAAATTTTAAAAATATAATGTATTCGAATAACAAAGGTCTTTATAGGAAAAATAATTGTACCACGTGGAGTGCAAATCAATCACACCAACCTGCTTGATCTTGCAATAAGAAGTAGTAAGCAAATCGCAGACAGGAAGCGAACGCACAGAGATGAGGAGGAAAAAAGGAAAACATTATTTCTTTCATAAAACAAAGAAAAATGTATAATAGCATTCATTTATAGTATAAGTATAGAAATAAATCAAAACATTATCAAAACTGAAATAAAGCTCAAGTAAAAAGAAAGCATTTTCAACACAATGAGAGATGTGATTTAAGCAAGAACAAGATTAATTTAGTCTAATTTCACAACTCAAATCAATCTCAAGAGCTCACGTTCATTCCCAAACTCCTGCAAATGTAATTGTTCAGCACCACATGGTTATGCTGATGGTAGACATAGAATTGGGAATTTGTTAAGACCTGGGAAATTATTTAAAAAGGACAAAGCAGAAAATTAAACCAATTTTAAAAAAAGGTAAATTAAAAAAGCAAAATTCACATTGTTCACTTCCAAGTTTTCCCAATTCAATGTTTCTTCTAGTATAAAGATCCATATTACAGGTGTTCCCCACTTTAAGAAAATCCAACACAAAAATCTGAACCAACTAAACAGATTATGGTGATTTGCACTAAATATTTGGTTTAAAAAGGATTTAAGAAAGAATTTTTAAAGACAGCCAGTACTCCCAATATATTTAATTATCTAATTCGACTTACAAGCAATTTTCTAAATAAAATGAAGTACACCTGTGCAGTAAGATGCTTACATTCAATCTATCGGTAAATTATTAAGGATAACTGTAATAATTCTATAGAAGTAGATGCCAACTGATGATTCAAGCAACAGACACCTAAACAAAGGCCATTCATATTTTGTAAAGGGAGGGTACATACAAGTTACACACAGCAACCACATGCTGGGACAATCATCTCTCCACTTCACTGATACACTCACATTACAACAAAAAAAATGTCAAGTGCTAGGTAAGCAAACTGCAGTTAAAACTTGAATAAACTACAACTCTTAGCATACTTTTATTTAACTATTCTTTAAGAATTAAGGTAAGCTTTTAAAAAATTAAATTAAAATGCCTCCTACTCAGACATTTTCTTCTATTTCACAGGTTAGAATACAAAATTATACTTCCACAATGGTTTCTAAAGCAATTTCATATATTTATAAAACTATCCTCTGAAATTATCTTGGTAACTTGCTTAAAAATTGTCAATAGAGAAAATATACTTCCAATATTCTTGGAATTCTTCCTCTAAAAAGCTAAAACAATAAGCAATTATTTTTATTAGTTTGGAAAGGGCAAGTATACAGATAATGCTTTAAAAGACAGTAAGCTGCAAGCTAGTACAAAAAACTTCATTTCTCTTTTTTTCTGGAAATAAAATATAGATAAAATTAATACTTTTCAACTTAATTAAGGTTCAAGGAAATTCTTTGAGTTTGGAATAAGTCAAGATAGATGCAACATAAATGTTTTCATGTGGTTCTAAATTCTCCAATCACATCACAGAAAATGTCTTTAAATCTATCAGGTGATTTAGAAATAGGAATATGTGTTCATTTGAAGTAAAATGCCATTCAATTTCTCTGAACCTGCTTCAATCTTTACATTTTTCTTTATTTAAGAGACTTCAATCTTAAACTACTGCTAAGAATAGAACATCAAGGTATAAACTGTATGTTAACTGTATGACATGCTATAATGCATACAGGTGTACTTCCAAATGCAATCTGTACTTTTCCAAATGCAGGCTTTCTTATTGCATGTCCCTTATACTGACCAGGATTAGAAATGTATCATGAAACATAAAAAAAAAAAACCCGAATCATTCTCTTGTACAGCTTACTAGCTCTCGTTACATTATCTCAATTGCAAAAGCATGAATCTCTCTTCCATTGTCTCAAACATAAGCTAAAGCACATGTTTAACAATCACGGTTAACTGAAAGCAATGAAGGAGGGAGGGGAGCATCGCATGCTTTGTTCTACAGAGAAGTCCAACATGTTTTCTTCAAGGAATGACAGGAGCGGTGCAGCATTTCTCAATGAAGCCCATGGGTTATGGCAAAGCCAAAGCTCTGTTAGAGTATTTAAGAGCTACCACTCACTAGGCAAGAACTTATCCAGAGGTTTCTCTATGACAGAACATGTGGAGTCTGAACTACTGCTGCTGCTACTGCCTGGAAGACAAAGAAATGAGCCCAACGGGAACCAAAGAAAGAGGAAACAAGAAAATGAACACATATACAGGGAAAATTTCAGTTCCAGAGAAAGAATTTTCAAAGACAATCAAGCTTTGTTTTCAACAACCAAAACTTACTTTCTCTTAAAACCATTCGTGGTAGTCTATCCATTAGTCTCTATTTCGCAAACCTTACTGGGGGAATTAAAAACTCTATTCCTTTGAGCGTCTACCATAGGCAAACCCCTTTACTCACCTAAAACATAATAAATCCGGAGTAGAAATGACAAGAATAAAAAATAAATAAGTCATTGAAAACACTTAAGTCTACTTAAACTATTTAAGTTGATAAGTTAAAGGAATGGAGCCACATACAAAATTACAGGAATGATAAATCACCCTTCATTACAGACAGGCTGGTCCATTTCCAATTTTGCTGTCTCCCACCAAAATACAGAACTATCAAATATAATTATTTGTTTAAGGTTTGACAACAAACTTTGAAAAGACTCACTGAAAAATTTAAATTTGTAAGCACAGAAGAAATGTATATAAATATTTCAACATGTTAAACAGTGGCCATTTTTTATATTTAAAAAAAGTTTTAACCAATCTATGTTCTGCTTAATTTTGATAAAAATAATGTACTCTGAAAAAAGCCAGGTATAAACAAAAACTCATTTCTCTAAACCAGGGGCTGACAAACATTTTATACAAAAGGACAGATAGTGTTTTAGACTTTGCAGGCCATAGGATTTCATGTGAAAGCAGCTACAGACCATATGTAAACAAAGAAGCATGGCTGTTTTTATAAAATTTTATTTACAAAAACAGTTGGTGAGCTGGATTTGGCCAACACCCCTAAACCATGCTTTTCTTGTTGTTTGAAACTTGAATCTTAACAGTTCTTAAATTTGAGAGTCCTTATTAAGCAATAATGGATTTATTTTCAGCAAGATAATTTTAATAAGACAAGCAAATATGCACCAGCTTGAAAACAATGATCCACATTAATGGAAGAGAGAAATATTTAGAGTAAAAAGTTTGAAATGTAGGCCATTATGGTATGTCCGACTCTTCCGTATACTATCTAAATCCTTATGACAACACAATCTTCATTCAACTTGGTAACAAATGCCCCCACCACATTGTGGATTTGACAGTAGATTTTATAAAGAAAAATAATTCAAAAATCAAATCCTCATATATATTATTTAAAAAATTCACTGAATTCCTAACAGAGTTAAAAGCCTCTAGATAAAATTAAAACTTTTCGGCCGGCGCCGCAGCTCACTAGGCTAATCCTCCACCTTGCGGCGCCGGCACATCGGGTTCTAGTCCCGGTTGGGGCGTCAGATTCTGTCCTGGTTGCCCCTCTTCCAGGCCAGCTCTCTGCTGTAGCCAGGGAGTGCAGTGGAGGATGGCCCAAGTCCTTGGGCCCTGCACCCCATGGGAGACCAGGGTAAGTACCTGGCTCCTGCCATCAGATCAGCGCGGTGCGCCGGCCGCGGCGGCCATTGGAGGGTGAACCAACGGCAAAAAGGAAGACCTTTCTCTCTGTCTCTCTCTCACTGTCCACTCTGCCTGTCAAAAAAAAAAAAAAAAAAAGAAAACTTTTCATAACATTTTTAAATGGTGTATCCATTAATTATAGAGTTTTGTATTCTAAATTCTGAAAAGCAAAAAACCAGAACAAATGATATTTGAGTCAGTTATAAACAGAAGATTGGTATAGGAAAAAACAAATGCAAAGTTATGGAAACATCTTCCATTCTAAATGCTAACATAACAAAAATGGCAAAATAAATGGCATGCACTCCACTGCTCTAGGAACAGATATAAGGAAGACTTACCCCTTCTTTTTTTCCTTTTCTCTCCATCTTCTCCAACCTCACCCTCTTCATCATCCTCCTCCCCTGAACCACTGATATCAGAGCCCGATATTTCTTCCCCTGGGATAGAGATGTAATACAATGATTTTTATTCTGTTCCACGTCATGGGCTATCTAGGAAATGCCTGTATCAACTTTCTTCACTAAGTTTTGTTGCCTCAAACAACATATTTAAATGCTCCAACACATGCATCAGATATACTAACAACAGAAACAAATTAGTTTAAGACATTTCTAAATATATGTAAAAATTATACACTATAGTTAATAGTACGGTCTTTATAAAATATTACCACTTAGGGAATTATTTTCTTCTCAGTTTCCTGTTTAAGATTTTAAATCATTAATTTGCTCTGTATTTTTTCAAAAATATTTACTTATTTGAAAGTCAGAGTTAGATAGAGAAGGACAGGCAGAGAGAGAGAGAGGTCTTCATTCGCTGGTTCACTCCCCAATTGGCTGCAACAGCTGGAGCTGTGCCAATCTGAAGCCAAGAGCCAAGAGCTTCTTCTGGGTCTCCCACGTGGGTGCAGGGACCCAAGGTCTTGGGCCATCTTCTACTGCTTTCCCAAGCCAAAGCAGAGTTGAACCGGAAGTGGAGCAGCCAGGACTCGAACCAGCGCCCATATGGGATGCCGGGATTGTAGGTGGTGGCTTTACACCACAGCACTGGCCCCTTGCTCTGCATTTTTTTAAAGATAGAGTCTTTTAGGACTCTATCGCAAGAAACATCTCAAAAGAAGAAGGGCTTATTTGTAGAAACTACATATTAACTTAAAGATCAAGAAATTAATAAAAATTATTAAACTAACATTGAAAAGCACCTTCATTTTAGCTACTGAAAAATACCACTATCCACTCATAAAATGTCTAATGATAAAAAAAAAAAGCAATTGGGGGCAAGGCAAGTAACTGCATCCTCAGAACAAAGCTCACAAATATTTATAAGAAGAGAAAAATACTCAAGATTCAGGGTAAAATTCACAATGTCTGGCACCCAACCAAGAAATTGCCAAGCTGGGGTGGGCACTGGGCATAGAATTTAAGAGATTACTTGTGAAACCAGCATCCAGTATCAAGAGTGCCTGGCTTCAAGTCGCAGTTCCAATTCCAATTCCAGTGTCCTGCTAACGCACACCCTGAGATGCAGCAGTGGCGGCTCACGTAGTTGGGTCACTGCCACTCATGGAGAACACCTGGACTGAGTTCCTGGCTCCCAGTTTCATCCTGGCCAGTCCTGGCTGTTGCAGGCATTTGGGGGAGTAGTGAACCAGCAGATGGGAAATCCTTGTCTGTCTCTAACTCCCTCTTTGTCTTTTTACCTTTCAATTAAATAATTTTTAGTAAAGTAACTGAGGAGTAAAAAAGCAAAACACATATTAATCACAACCAGAAAACTATATTATAAATAAAGGATGGAAAGAGAACAGAATCTTTAGAGAAGGAAGTCATTAAAAACATTTTATTCTTTTTTTTTTTTTTTTTTGGACAGGCAGACTTAGTGAGAGAGAGAGACAAAGACAAAGGTCTTCCTTCCGTTGGTTCACCCCCTAAATGGCCACTACAGCCAGCACACTGCGCCAATCCAAAGCCAGGAGCCAGGTGCTTCCTTCTGGTCTCCCATGCGGGTGCAGGGCCCAAGGACTTGGGCCATCCTCCACTGCCTTCCCGGGCACAGCAGAGAGCTGGACTGGAAGAGGAGCAACGGGGACAGAATCCAGTGCCTCAACCAGGACTAGAACCGGGGTACCGGTGCCACAGGCGGAGGATTAGCCTAGTGAGCCGCAGCGCAGGCCTCAAAACATTTTATTCTTAAAGCCTAGAAACACTGACATCTTGGTAGAAGTGAGCACATCGACTGCCCAAAACTAGATTTCTAAATAGCATTCTCCAATAAAGGGAATGAGGAAAAATGGATGATCCTAAGATTGGGGAGGGAAGATATAAGACGAAGCTAAAGCACTGTGTAGCATCAGATGTTTTTTAGCACTAAAAAACTTGATGGGAAGGTGCTGAAAGGATACAAAAAAAAAAAAAAGTTACAAAAACTCCTAAGGAGTTCTTAATAGCCAAAGTTGGGACAATTTAAACAAAACACATAATTACAGTGCAGGATTATAACCCACAGTACAGAGTCGGGGAGAAGAACTGGTCTTTTTCTTTTTTTTTTTTTTTTTTTAAAGATTTTATTTCTTTATTTGAGAGGTAGAATTACAGACAGTGAGAGGGATAAACAGAGAGAAAGGTGTTCCTTCTGTTGGTTCACTCCCCAGATGGCTGAAACGGCCACAGCGGCGCAGATCCAAAGCCAGGAGCCTGGAGCTTCTTCTGGGTCTCCCATACCGGTGCCGGGGCCCAAGCACTGGGCCATCTTCTAGTGCTTTCCCAGGCCATAGCAGAGAGCTGGATTAGAAGAGGGGCAGCCAGGACTAGAACCGGCACCACCGCAGGTGGAGGATTAACTATTGCGCCATGGAGCCAGCCCCGAACTGGTCTTTCTTCAACACAATTTCAAACATTAAGCATAAAAGGAATGATTAAAATAGAAATTTACCACTAAGCAAATGCCACAAAACTACTGCTGCAGGCAGGAACCACTGATGAGTGTTAAAACTCATAGTAGAGGGACCAGCACTGTGCATGGTAGTGGGTAAAACTGCCACCTGCAGTTGCTGGCATACCATATGGGCACCAGCTCAAGTTCCAGTTGCTCCTCTTTCAATTCAGCTCTCTGCTGTGGCCTGGGAAAGCAGTAGAAAATGGCCCAATTCCTCAGGCCCCTGCACCCATGTGGGAGACCCAGAGGAAGCTCCTGCTCCTGGCTTCAGATTGGCCCAGCTCTGGCTGTTGTGGCCATCTGGCAGTGGACTAGTGGATGGAAGACTGATCTCTCTCTCTCCCTCCCTCCCTCCCTCTCTGTAACTCTGCCTTTCAAATAAATAAATCTTTAAAAAAATAAAAGTAGTAGAAAGTATAGTGAGAAACGAGATCTCTGCAGTGTCTGAAAGTATCACCTCACAAGATATATATATGTATATATATATATATATAAAATGGAAAAATAATAGATCTACACTAAAGAAACCTTGCAGAGCAATTACAAAAAAAAAAAAAAAAAAAACTGTAGACAAATTCAAATTAAGAGGGGCCAGTGCTGTGCTGTAGTGGGTCAAGCCATGCCTGCAATGCTGGCATCCCATATGGGCACTGGTTCAAGTCCCAGCTGCTCCACTTCTGATCCAGCTCTCTGCTTTAGCCTGGGACAGCAGTATAAGGTGGCCCAATTCCCTGGGCCCCTGTACCCACATGGGAGACTCAGAAGAAGCTCCTGGCTCCTTGCTTCAGATCAGCACAGCTTCAGCCATTGTGGCCATCTGGGGAGTGTACCAGCAGATGGAAGATCCCTCTCTCTTTCTCTTCCTCTCTGTAACTCTGCCTTTCAATAAATTAAAAAAAAAATTCAAATTAAAGAACATTCTAAAAAATGTATGACCAGGGGCCGGCACTGTGGTGCAGTAGGTTAAGCCTCTGTCTATCATGCCAGCATCCCATATAGGCATCAGTTCGTGTCTTGGCTATTCTTCTGATCCACCTCCTTGCTACGGCCTGGGCAATCAGTGCAAGATGATTCAAGTCCTTGGGCCCCTGCACCACATGGGGGACCTGGAGGAAGCTCCTGGTTTTGGACCAGCCGAGCTCTGGCCACTGTGGCCATCTGGAGAATGAAACAGGGGATGAAAAACCTTTCTCTCTGTCTCTCCTTCTCACTGTAATACTACCTCTCAAATAAACTTTTATATAAATCTTAAAAAAGATATAATTTATGTATATATATAAATATATAAAACCAGTACAACTATAGAAAACCAGTACTCTTCAGAATTATCAGGCTCATGAAAGACAAATAAGACTGACGAACTGGAAAAGAATAAGAAGACATGAAAAATAAATTCAATTCAATATATGACCCTGGACTGTATCCTGTACCAGAAATAAAGGCACTGGAAAGATAACTGACAAGATCTGAAATTCTGGGTTTTTTTAAAAATTTATTTATGGGGCCAGCACTGTGGCACAGCGGGTTAAAGCCCTAGTCTGAAACGCCAACATCCCATATGTGCACCAGTTCTAATCCCAACTGCTCCTCTTCAGATCCAACTCTCTGTCATGGCCTGGGAAAGCAGTAGAAGATGGCCCAAGTGCTTCGGCCCCTGCACCCATGTGGGAGACCCAGAGGAAGCTCCTGGCTCCTGGCTTCAGATTGGTGAAGCTCCGGCCGTTGCGGCCATCTGGAGAGTAAACCAGCGGATGGAAGACTTCTCTCTCTGACTCTACCTCTCTCTGTAACTCTGACTTTCAAAATAAATAATTTTTTTTAAAGATTTATTTTATTTATTTGAAAGACAGAGTTACAGAAGGAGAGGTAGAGACTGAGAAAGAGATGTTCTATCTGCTGGTTCACTCCCCCAGATGGCTGCAACAGCCAGCACTGGGCCAGGCTGAAGCGAGGAGCTTCATTCAGGTCTCCCACAGAGGTGGCAGAGGCCCAAACACTAGGACCATCATCTGCCTTCCCAGGCCATTGGCAGGGAGCTAGATCATGATAAGAAGTGAAGCAGCTGGGACACAAACCAGCACCCATATGGGACACCAGCATTGCAGGCAGTGGCTTTACCTGCTACACCACTGCAACAGCCCCAAGATTTGAAGCTCTGTAGATCTATTAATAACACTGTGTCAATGCAAATTTCCTGGTTTCAATAACTGTACTAAGATTACATATGATAATGTTAGGAAAACTTGGATGAAGGGTATATGTGCAAGTTGTGTATAAGTCTAAAAGCATTTTATAATAAGTTTAAATATTCTTTTAATATTTTTGCCTAGGTTTTTTTGTTTCTTTATATGACCAATTCTATTAGAATATAAAAACAAATGTCCAAAGAGCACAAATAAAACAAAATGTTAAACAGGGTCAGTATCAGGGCCGGTGCTATGGCATAGTAACTCTACTTGTGGCACTGACATCCCATATGGGTGATGGTTAGCGTCCCGGCTGCTCCCCCCCCTTTTTTTTAAAAAAGCTTTATTTATTTTACTTGAAAATCAGAGTTACACAGAGGCAGAGGCAGAGAGATAGAGAGAAGTCTTCCATCCACTGGTTCATTTTCCAAATGGCCTAAGTGCTTAGGCCCCTACAACCACATGGAAAACCCAGATGAAGCTCCTGGCTTTGGATGAGTCCAGCTCTGGTCACGGTAGCCATCTGAGAGTGATCCAGCAGATGGAAGCTCTCTCTCTCCCCCTCTCTGTCTGTAACTTGGCCTCTCAAATAAATAAATCTTAAAAAAAAAAAAAAAAAAAAGGTCAGTATTACCATAGGATCCAGTGATTTCACATCTGGACATATACACAAAACAACTAAAAGCAAGTACTCAAAAACATGTTAGCACATCTATTTTCATGGCAGCAATATTCACAACAGACAAGAGGTGGAAGCAACCCAGGGATTCGTCACTGGATGAAAGGATAAACCCAATTTAGTATATACTCAGGCACACAGTGGAATATTAAAGGAAAAGAAATTTTAATACCGCAACATTGGTGAACCTAGAAAGCACTATGCCAAGTGACACAGGCAAGTCACAAAAAAGACATATACTATATTATTTTACATATATGAGGTACCTAAAATACTCAAATTAACAGAGACAAAGTGGAAGAGTGGTTACCAGGGATTGGGGGAAGGAAAGAATGGGAAAAGAGTATTTCAAGTAGCTTCTGTTTGGGATGCTGACAAGGCTCTGCAGCTGGATGGTGGTGAGAGCTGCACAGCAATGTGAATGTACGTAATGCCACTGAACTGTACACTTACAGTGTTTAAAGTGGTAAATTATAGAATGTATATTTTACCACATAAAAATGTAAAAAATAAAGTCAACCAAAAAAAGGCATGTACTCAATATTGACAAAGATAAGAAATAAAAAAAAATCTTTAAAACATACTGGCTATAAATACCACCTAGTGGTCAGATTTGAAACAACAATTTTTGCTATCTATGAGTAAAAATACTATCACTTAATGCTTTTCTTCAATAATCTTACTCAAGTTTTTTTAATCATCAGTTTCTCCAAATATTTGTGATACTGCCATCTCTGGATTTCACCTGTAATCTAACCAGGTTCCCATGGACTGCAAAGGTACAGTTTCAAAACCCTCTGTTTACCAGGTATGCAAAGGAGCTTTGTGCCAGAGATCTCACAGAGTCACTGAACACTTAATGACTGGGAAATATCTTACCCTCATTAATAAGATCTTCAAATTTTATTTCTCAAAATTTATTTAGGGGGCAGCGCTGTGGCGTAGCAGGTGAAGCCACTGCCTGTAGTGCCAGCATCCCATATGGGCACCGGTTCAAGTCCCAGCTGCTCCACTTCTCTGCTATAGCCTGGGAAAGCAGTGGAGGATGGCCCAAGTCATCAGGCCCCTGCACCCACGTGGGAAGACCCGGAGGAAGCTCCTGGCTCCTGGCTTCGAATCGGTGCAGCTCCATCCATTGCAGCCAATTGGGGAGCGATCCAGAAGACAGAAGACCTCTTTCTATGACTCTCCTTCTCTCTATGTACTCTTTCAAATAAATAAAAAAAAATCTTTAAAAAAAAAAATATATATAGGGCCGGCGCCGCGGCTCACTAGGCTAATCCTCCGCCTAGCGGCGCCGGCACACCGGGTTCTAGTCCCGGTCGGGGCGCTGGATTCTGTCCCGGTTGCCCCTCTTCCAGGCCAGCCCTCTGCTGTGGCCAGGGAGTGCAGTGGAGGATGGCCCAGGTGCTTGGGCCCTGCACCCCATGGGAGACCAGGAAAAGCACATGGCTCCTGGCTCCTGCCATCGGATCAGCGCGGTGCGCCGGCCGCAGCGCGCTGGCCGCGGCGGCCATTGGAGGGTGAACCAACGGCAAAGGAAGACCTTTCTCTCTGTCTCTCTCTCTCACTGTCCACTCTGCCTGTCAAAAAAAAAAAAAAAAAAAATATATATATATATATATTTATTTTTTAAAGGCAGAGTTACCAGGAAAGGGTGTGAGAGAGCAAGAAAGAAACAGCGAGGTCTTCCATTCACGGATTCACTCCCCAAATGGGCACAACGGCCAAGACTGTGCGAGGCTCAAGCCAGGAGCCCCATCTGGGTCTCTCACTGGGTGCAGGGGTCCAAAGAGTTGATCCACCTTTTGCTGCTTTCCTAGGTGCATTGGAGCTGGAAGGGAAGTACAGCAGCCAGGAGTTGAACCAGCACCCATATGGGAGAGTCTGGCATCATAAGCAGCGGCTTAACCAGCTGCATCACAACACCAGCCCAAGAGCTTCAAATTTTCTAACCTAGCATATCTGTTAAGAACTATATACTACGAGGCTGGTGCTGTGGCGCAGCGAGTTAAAGCCCTGTCCTGAAGCGACAGCATCCCATATGGGCGCCACTTCTAGTCCTGGCTGCTCCTCTTCCGATCCAGCTCTGCTATGGCCTGGGATAGCAGTAGAAGATGGGCCAAGTTCTTAGACCCCTGCACCCATGTGGGAGACCTGGAGGAAGCTCCTGGCACCTGGCTTTGGATCGGCACAGCTCCAGCCGTTGCAGCCAGCTGGGGAGTAAAAAAGAGGATGGAAGACCTCTCTCTCTGTCTCTACCTCTCACTGTAACTCTGTCTTTCAAATAAATAAAATAAAATCTTAAAAAAAAAAAAAAAGAACTATATACTACTATAGTTTTAATGATTTTTTGATCATTTTAAAATTTACTTCAATGTGAGTAAAGTTGAACATCTTTTCATTTGATTATTGTTTGAAGCCCTTGCTGCTGAACTATGGTCTTTTTGCCTTTTATTTGTTGAACTTTTTTTTTTAAAGATTTATTTTATTTATTTGAAAGAGTAACAGAAAGAGTTATAGACAGAAAGAGAGGTCTTCCATCCACTGGTTCACTCCCCAAGTAGCTGCAACGGCTGGAGCTGTGCCGATCCAAGGCCAGGAGCCAGGAGCTTCTTCTGGGCCTCCCACATGGGTGCAGAGGCCCAAGGACTTGGGCTATCTTTCACGGCTATCCCAGGCCATAGCAGAGAGCCAGATCAGAAGAGGAGCAGCCGGGATTAGAACCAGTTCCTATATGGGATGCCGGCACTTCAGGCCAGTGCTTTAACCCGCTGCGTGACAGCGTCAGCTCCTGAATTCTTTATCTGGTAGAACATTAAGCCTTTGACTACAAGATAAATTAAAAATGTTATCTCAAAAATAATTAAAGTAAAAAAAAATTTTCAAAATAAAATCTCAAGTTCAAATTTATGTACGAAAGCTTATTTCCAAGACCATGCAATACAATTTTCTCATAGCAAACTTAGTTTACCCATGACTGTCAGATATCTTTCTTTACTTAAGTAATGAGCTTAATGTCTGCTCACAAACATGTATCATTTAAAAATAATTCTCATGGTAGAATTTACTCTCATACAGAGATAAATAAAAATTCATTATTTAACAAGTAATTATACAAAATCTATAAATGTCATGGGGATAAAAGATGGAAGTTTAAAGGTAAGCTATTTTTCAAAAAACCATACACATAATTATCATATAATTTTTACTTAAGTTTAATATAAAAAGTATATACCAAATTACTTCCCAGAAACTCTTCTAAATATCAGTGTTAGAGATGCAAAAAACATTTCATAGGTGATTTTTGTTAAAACACTTAGTGGTTGAGGGCCGGCACTGTGGCGCAGTGGGGTAATGCCCTGGCCTGCAGTTCCGGCATCCCATGTGGACACTGGTTCGAGACCCGGCTGCTCCGCTTCCAATCCGGCTCTCTGCTATGATCTGGGAAAGCAGAGGATGGCCCAAGTTCTTGTGCCCCTGCACCCACGTGGGAGACCTGGAAGAAGCTCTTGGCTCCTGGCTTCAGATCAACCAATTGGTGAATGAACCAGCGGATGGAAGATATCTCTCTCTCTATCTCTCTGCCTCTCCTCTCTGTGTAACTCAGACTTTCAAATAAGTAAATAAATCTTAAAAAAAAAAAACTTAGTGGTTGGGGCCAGTGCTGTGGCATAGTGGGTAAGGCCGCTGCCTGCAGTGCCTGCATCCCATATAGGTGCCAGTTCAAGTCTCAGCTACTCCACTTCTGATCCAGCTCTCTGCTATGGCCTGGGAAAGCAGCGGAAGATGGCCCAAGTGCTTCGGCCCCTGCACCCACATAGGAGATCTGGAGGAAGCTCCTGGCTCCTGGCTTTGGAACGGTGCACCTCTGGCTATTGCCGCCATCTGGGGAGTGAACCAGCGGATGAAAGACTTCTCTTTTCTCTCTGCCTCTCCTCTCTCTGTGTAACTGTGACTTTCAAGAGGAGGAAGCTCCTGGCTCCTGACTTCAGATCAGTGCAGCTCTAGCCACTGTGGCCATCTAGGGAGCGAACCAGCAGATGGAAGACCTCTCTCTTTCTCTCTCTGCCTCTAACTCTGCCTTTCAAATAAATAAACAAATCTTAAAAAAAAAAAAAAAAAACTTAGTGGTTAACAACACATTGTAGCCAATATTAATTATATTTTGAGAAAAAGTTACCTTCTTCAAGCTTTTTCTTCAATTCTTCTATTTCTTTCTGAAACTGACGGAGCAAAGCATCCTTTGGATCTTCATTAATTCTAGCTTTATTTTTAATATTCTTAGCACGGTTGGCATACCGTAATGTACTAATAGTTTCATCATAATTATAATCTGCTGGCCCAATATTTGCACACTGTTGAAATTAGACATAAGTCATTTTATACATAACAGTAAATTAATATAACCATTACAAATAAATAAAAACAAAAATTTTAAGGCACAAATGCACTCCAATTTTGAAAAAAGAGCATCAATCACATGTTTCCCAATAACACTATAGCCTAAAACACAAGGTAAACTCTACAAAGGATAACTACAAATTTTAAAAAATTATTTTATACATATCAGTTATTGGCATAAAATTGAATCTTAAGTTTGCCTGAGGTTAACTGTACCAGTAGTTAAGCCTTACCATCATGGTTTTTGAATTTCCTCCTAAGGAATCCTGAAGAAGTCGAGTCAATTTAGAGTTACGGTAAGGCACATGTGTACTTTTCCCATCAACCAAAGCAGAAATTACATTGCCAAGCGTAGAAAGAGAAAGATTAATTTTTGTAGCTTCCTTTAAGCGCTGTCCAGTAGCTCCAGTTTTTGCTTGTCTTTCTGAACCCTAGCATAAACAGAGATAAAAATCAAGATAAAATTAAAAAATATTCTTCCCAAAGTTTTTATAATTTAACAGTAAATAAATATGATATGCTATCTGGAATTCATTTCTAAATAATAAAAAAAAGGAAGGAGATGAGTAGACGAAACAAGATTGTTGTAGTTGAGTCATACATATAGGGAGGATCACTACATTCTATATACATCCACACACTCTCATATACATTTAAGTATATCATAGTAAATAGTAAGTTAAACATACACAAGAGTAACAACTTGAAAATCATATATAAGCACACCTTTCTACTTTAATTTGTATTCATGTATAATGTAAATGGTTCACATGAAAGGGTACAGTATCCTTAAACTTACAGCAAGATCTACAAGGTGGAGCTTCCCCATCCTGACATGCATGTTACCATCGATGCCTTTTTCACTGCATTCTATAGTAATTGTAAAGATGGCATGGGAACGGGAACTATGTTCATTCATATTAGTTGCACCAACAGAACCTTTAATAAAGAAAGGAAACTCTTAAAAAGTGTAGCAGAAAGTGTCTTTAAAAAATAAGTATCCAGAACAAGGTAAAGACTTAATTTATCACTGTAAAAACAAGAGAGCATAGCTAAACCATAGAAGCACAGATGTGTATTTAGCCATTATATGAAATTTCTCATATAATTTATGCTGATAACAAAAGACTTTGTAGGCGGGTGTTGTGGCATACCAGGTAAAGCTGCCGCCTGCAATGTCAGTGTCCCATACGGGCACCAGTTCCAGTTCTGGCTGCTCTACTAATGAACCAGCTCCCTGCTAATGCACCTAGGAAGGCAGTGAGAGATGGTCCAAGTACCTGGGCCCCTGCACCCACGTGGGAGCCCCTTAAGAAACTCCTGGCTGCTGGCTGTGGTCTGGCCCGGCTCTGGCCATTACGGCCATTTGGGGAATGAATCAGTGGATGGAAGATCAATCTCTCTCTTTCTCTTTCCCTCTCTATAACTCTACCTTTCAAAAAAAAAAAAAAAAAAAAAAAAAAAAAAAAAAAAAAAAAAGGTCAGCAAACAAGTGGTTGTTTTGCCTAGCAGTTAAGACATCTGCATGCCCTATTGAAGAAGCCAGGTTCAACACCAAGCTCTAGATCCCTACTCCTACTTCCTGCTAATGCAGACCCTAGTAGGCAGTAGGTAATGGCTCAAGTAATTCAGTTCCTGCCACCTACATGGGAGACTTCGAATGAATTCCCAGCTCCCGTCTTTGGCCAGGCCCAGTACCAGCTCTGCAGTCATTTGGGGCATGAACCAGTGGATAGGAATGCTTACTTGCATTGGTGCTCTCTTTCTGCTTCTCAAATAGATAAAAACTTAAAAACTTTAAATGTCAATAGATACGGTTACTATTATAACAGATACTGTTTCAAAATTGCTGTATCTAGGGACCAGCATTGTGGCAGAGTGGGTTAAAATTTCAGCATTCCATATCAGAGTATCAGTTCAAGTTCTAGCTGCTCAGCTGCCAATCCAGATTCCTGCTAATGCACCTGGGAAGGCAGCAGAAGATGGCCCAAGTGCTTGGCTGCTGGTCACCTACTGAAGAGACCAAGATAGAGTGCCTGACTCTTGGCTTTAACTAGCCCAGTCCTGCCTGTTCTGGTTATTTGGGAAGTGAACAAGTGGATAGAAGGTCTCTCTCTCTCTCTCTCTCTCTCTCCCTCTCTCTGATGCTGTGCCTTTCAAACAAACAAAATTTTTTAAAAAGCTCTATCTACAGGGACAGTGTTGTGCTGCAGTGCGTTAAGCTGGTTTGCGCCCCAGCTGTCTACTTCCAATTCAGTGTCTAGCTAAAGTGCCTGGGAAAGCAAAAGCAGATAGCCCAAGTATTTGGGCCTCTGTCATTCATTTGGGAGAGCCAGACGAAGTTCTAGGCTCCTGGTGTCAGCCTGACCTGGCCCCACCCTGCAGCTAGTTGGGAAGTGAAGAGAGAATGGAAGATCTCTTTCTCTCTCAGTGTCATTCCCCTTCTCTCTGTGACTCTGCCTTTCAAACAAACAAATCTTACCAAAACAAAACAAAACAAAAACTTGTACCTATTCACATTCTTCAATGTCTCACCAACCTGACATCTTCCACACATTCTGACGGATTACATAACTCTCATTGTTGTTTTAATTTGCATTTTTCTGATTAATTGTGAGGTTGAACATCCTTTCATATGCTCATCGCTGTGTAGAGTTCTGTGAATAACACACTTATACATATCTTTTGGTCATTTTTTCCCAAGATTTGGCCCTTTTATTAGTTCTTCCCTATTGTTTATTAGAATACAAATGATTTTCTTTAAATATTTATTTATTTATTTGTTTTGAAAGGCAGAGATACAGAGAAAGAGAAGAAACAAAGAAGAGAGAGAGATCTTCTATCCACTGGTTCACTCCCCTAATAGCAGCAATGACAGGGGTGGGCCAGGCTGAAGCCAGGAGCCAGGAGCTTCCTCCATGTCTCTCACGTGGATGCAGGAGCCCAAGGACCTGAGCCATCTCCTGCTGCTTTTTCAGGCACATTAGCAGAGAGCTGGATTGGAAATGCAGCAGCTATATAGTGCCTATACAGGATGCTAGTGCCACAGGCTGTGAGTTTAACCCACTGTACCACAGCACCAGCCCCTTCAAAATTTTTCTGTAATTTCTTTGGGTTTGCTAGGTCTATAGTGAAGTCATAAAAACTTAAATTTTTTTTCACTTTCTGTTCTTATATTTTACTTCCAATTTCTAACTGCTATTGGCAGCATCCCTAGTATGAGGCCTGTAGCATCTGTTAAAACGTATTACTGAAGCTTCTTATTCTTGAGAACAAAAATTTGAAATTATTACCAAAAAGAATGCAAACTTTAAATTTAATTTTGTTTTGCTTCACTTGTCACCAAAAGGGAGATAGTATACCCCTGTCAGATGCATACTTATGGCCTACACTCAAATGCCTCTGCTACTTAATGAGTACACTGCTTTGAACAGGTCACTCACTCAAGTAAGCCTGAGGGCTTCCTAGTCTTCTGAGAGGGCCAGAAGAGACCATCCACAGAAGCAAGCACTTCCCACTTACCAAGTGCTCAATGTTACCAATATTCCTAGAGTTCATTAAATGTTAATGAAGATGCATATTAAGAAAAAACAAAGTGTGGATGTTTTGCATACACCAAAATAAACATATCTTTTTTTTTTTTTTTTTTTTGACAGGCAGAGTGGACAGTGAGAGAGAGACAGAGAGAAAGATCTTCCTTTTGCCGTTGGTTCACCCTCCAATGGCCGCCGCGGCTGGCGCGCTGCGGCCGGCGCACCGCGCTGATCCAATGGCAGGAGCCAGGAGCCAGGAGCCAGGTGCTTTTCCTGGTCTCCCATGGGGTGCAGGGCCCAAGCACCTGGGCCATCCTCCACTGCACTCCCTGGCCACAGCAGAGAGCTGGCCTGGAAGAGGGGCAACCGGGACAGAATCCGGCGCCCCAACCGGGACTAGAACCCGGTGTGCCGGCACCGCTAGGCGGAGGATTAGCCTAGTGAGCCGCGGCGCCGGCCAATAAACATATCTTTTAATTCCATTTTCCATGAACTTTTTGAAGCCCTCTCATAGCTAATAAGAGCCAACTACATAGGAGTTTTAAAGTTGAACACTATTAAAAAAAATTTTGGTCAGCAGGAAAAACAAACTGTGATGTCTTTCATTCATATACATTCTCTACATAGCAAATAATCAAAGCAGGAATGTTCTGAAGAAACCTAACAATGCACTCTTCATAAGCAAAGTGCCACACCAGTATTGCTTCTAGACCACCTACTCATCACACATTTATTGAATCACAATCACACACTACACTTACGATTTTTGTGGCCTAGAGTCATAATCCTATCCATATCATCAGCATTGTTTACAACATAAGCTGATAAATCTTTGATATAAACTCCCACATCAGGTCTTTCTTTAACCTGAAACAAAACAAAACAAGAGAGACTTTACACTGACATCCATAATTCTTACAATTACTTATTGAGTACCTACTATAAGGGGTCTTGAAAAAGTTTTTGAAAACTCAAATTATGAAACTACTATGCATGAATTTCTAAAGTTTTTTGGGGGGCTGGTGTTGTGGTGTAGTGGGTAAAGCTGCCATCTGTGTTGCTGGCATCCCCTGAGCACCAGTTCCTATTCCTGCTGCTCCACTTCCGATCCAGCTCCCTGTTAACGGCCTGTGATAAGCATCGGAAGACAGCCCACATGTATAAGCCCCTGCATCCCCTCAAGAAAACTCCTGGCTCCTTCCTGGCTCACCCCTGGCAGCTGTGGTCATCTTGGGAGTGAACCAGCAACCTCTCTCTCTGTTACACTTTCAATAAATAAATAAATCTTTTTTAAAAAAGTTTTTGCACTAAAATAAACATCTTTTAGTCCTATTTTTCTCAAACTTTTTGAATTGCTATTGTATTTGTTACTCTACTAGAGAATGGGGAAGTAGTGAAGAACAAGACAGACAGTTCATATACAAACAGATGTAACAGTCTACTTTATTTCAATTGTGATGATACAATGAATAAAAAATACAGGACAATATGGAAACATATCACAGAGACACTAAGCTAGTGCAGGCACATCAGATTAAGTTTTTCCATTAGGATGTTTAAGCTAAAAACCTGAAGAAGAAACAGGAAGCCAATAATCTGGATTGGAATAGTAGAAGAATATGTGCATGGACACTGACATGGGAAAAAAACTAGCAACTTACAAAGTATTAACAAATGAACAAAACAAAACAGAAAGCTAGAAAGAGCAAGAAACCAGGAGAAAAATGCAGTCTGGTTGCAGAGTCAAGATTAAGAACAGTTATTGTTATTTATGTAACAGCAACTTGAAACTGCTGGAGAATTTACAGCAGCTGAGTGAAATAAGTCTACAGTATACAAGTAAAAATATTATCTGTAAGTTACAATATGAATACTTTTACCAAAATGAAGGATATACTTAGAACACATTTACCTAAAATATAGATACTTGGGGCCAGCACTGTGGCATAGCAGGTAAAGCCACAGTCTGCAGTGCCAGCGTCCCATATGGGCACTGGTTTGTGTACCGGCTGCTCCACTTCCAATCCAGCTCTCTGCTATGGCCTGGGAAAGCAGTGGAAGATGGCCCAAGGCCTTGGGGCCCTGAACCCACAAGGGAGACCCGGAAGAAGCTCCTGGCTCCTGGCTTCGGATCGGCGCAGCTCCAGCTAGTTGCAGCCATCTGGGGAGTGAACCAGTGGATGAAGCACCTCTTTCTCTCTCTGCCTCTCCCTCTCTGCAACTCTTTCAAACAAATACATAAATATTTTTAAAAAGATGCAGATAATTTTTCATCAACAAAATTCATTTTGAGGGTCCTAAAAGTCATCTCCAGAAGCTAACGGGATAAAGTAAAACTGAGGTAGCGGCCTGTGGCCATCACTGGAGAAAGTCATCCCACAGTTACTAAGACCTAAGACAAGGAAGGCAAAGAAAAACTTGAAAAACAATCCCAACGACCAAAGTCAGAAGGGTGGCCACTCCAAATTCCAGAGGCTGATTGTCGATCTATTTGGGGGTTTTGTGCCTATTATAATAATTTTTAAGATAGACTACTAGCCGGCGCCGTGGCTCAATAGGCTAATCCTCCACCTTGCGGCGCCGGCACACCGGGTTCTAGTCCCGGTTGGGGCGCCGGATTCTGTCCCAGTTGCCCCTCTTCCAGGCCAGCTCTCTGCTATGGCCAGGGAGTGCAGTGGAGGATGGCCCAGGTGCTTGGGCCCTGCACCCCATGGGAGACCAGGAAAAGCACCTGGATCCTGGCTCCTGCCATCGGATCAGCGCGGTGCGCCGGCTGCAGTGGCGGCCATTGGAGGGTGAACCAACGGCAAAGGAAGACCTTTCTCTCTCTGTCTCTCTCTCTCACTGTCCACTCTGCCTGTCAAAAATTAAAAAAAAATAATAATAATAATAAAAAAAGATCTGTAAAAAAAAAAAAAGATAGACTACTAAGTTAGGAAAAGTTATCCTTTGTCTGTTACAGTATATACATTAAAGCTCAGTATTATAAGTAGAAAAAGGGATGCACTGGCCCCTGTAAGTCAGTGGGTGTGAAATCACGCTGTGAGAAACATCCTCAGTCATGCTGGCACCAAGACCACCCTGAGGGACTTTGGGGGTCTTCAGTCCCAGATAGAATCTGAAGACAGTCTCATTTTCATGTATTTAATAAACTCAGGTTTAGTCTGGAGAAAGTCTTTAAATGCTTTAATCCTGGTGTGGTTCACTCGGCTAATCCTCCGCCTGCGGCGTCGGCACACCGGGTTCTAGTCCATAATGGGGCGCTGGATTCTGTCCCGGTTGCCCCTCTTCCAGGCCAGCTCTCTGCTGTGGCCAGGGAGTGCAGTGGAGGATGGCCCAGGTCCTTGGGCCCTGCACCCCATGGGAGACCAGGAGAAGCACCTGGCTCCTGCCTTCGGATCAGCGCGATGCGCCGGCCACAGCACGCCGGCCGCGGCAGCCATTGGAGGGTGAACCAACGGCAAAAGGAAGACCTTTCTCTCTGTCTCTCTCTCTCTCTCTCTCTCTCACTGTCCACTCTGCCTGTCAAAAAAATAAATAAATAAAATAAAAAATAAAAAAAAGACCAGCTCAGCTCTGGCCCTTGTGGCCATGTGAGGGTGAACCAGCAGATGGAAGAACCCTTTCTCTCTACCTCCCTCTGTAACTTTGTCTTTCAAAAAAAATCTGTCTCTCTCACTAACTCTGCCTGTCAAAAAAAGAGAGTTTTAATAGTATTGGTCTATATTGATACTTCTCAAAAGATTTTATGCTAAAGGACAATGTGTGTACTTCTAATCTGGGAAACTAGTACTTTTGCAAAATACAAAAATCATACTCTATGAAAGCATATTGCTATAAAGTTTTTAAACACCTACAGTCACTTTTTATATTCATCTCACTGCAGACTAGAGGCATTCTGCAAAGCGACATCAGTCTCTAAACTAGAACTCTAAGGTCTTTATGTATTTTTTCCAATCACAATATTATATCAATTCAAAATTATTAAGTGTAGATAACTGATTACATCGATGAATAAAATGATTCAAAATGTATGACAATTTTTAAAAATGGGTGGTAATGCTAGCAAGAATTTTTATCATAAAAAAAGTAATTTAATTCCTATGCCAAATACATTTTATAACACTAAAACAATAGATTTCAATGAAAGCAGTTACTCCTCCACCCAGAATGTTTTAGAAATCTGTGGGGGAGTTTCTGGTTCTCTGGAAGGCACTATTAGTATTTACAGAAACAGAATAAGGATTCTAAACATTCTGAAATGAGTGTGCCTTACCCAATGAAGAACAGTCCCACACAATTGCAAATGTCCTACCAGATACTCACATGGACAAAAAAACTATTTATAATTATCTGAGTCTATACTCAGTTATCATATAAAATAATCTTACAAATAAAGACAATAAAATATAGCAACAGAGGAAAACAGAAGAAATACTACCACTTTCTTTTATTCAGAATTCTTCCAAGAACTAGTAACTATTTTAGTATTTTTTTTTAACTGTTCTGAAAGAACAAATCAGGATCATGTGTCCCACAGAGAGGACTCGGGTTCAATTTCTGGCTCCAGATTCTGAGTCCAGCTTTTCATTCGCTAATGCAGACCCGGAGAGGCAATGGTGATCATTCAAACAACTGGGCCCTGACACCCGTGTGGCAGATGTGGATTGCATTCCTGGCTCCTGGCTCCTGGCTCCTGGCTTCAGTCCCAGCCCACCCCTGGTGGCTGCAGGTATTTGAGGAGCAAACCAGTAGACTCGAGCTCTGTCTGATCTCTCAAAGATGGACATCTCCCATCTGCTGCTTCAATCCTCAAACCTACAACACCTGGAGCTGGGCAAACCAGAACTCACTTGTGTCAGAAGCATAAATATTCACCTTGACTGCAACACCTATGAATGCAGAGTATTATGGGTATGTTATACTGATGATCTAAACACCTTAATAGGTGTTATCATCAATGACATGGGTCTTTTTGTTTGTTTATTTTAAAAATTTCTTTGACAGGCAGAAAGAGAGAGACCTCCCACCTGCTGGTTCACTCCCCAAATGCCTCCAACAGCCAAGACTAGTCCAGGCTGAAGCCAGGTCTCCCACATGGGCAGCAGGTACACAAATACTTGAGCCATTCACCTGCTGCCCCTCAGAGTGCACATTAGCAGGAAACTGGAACTGATGGTGCAGCTGGGACACAAACCCAGCATTCTCACATGGTGTGTGGATGTCCAAGTAGCATCCTAACTGCTACACCAAAAGCTCATCCCTGCATCTTATTTTTTAATTACTGTTGTTCTCCTTTATTACAGTAAGGCAATATATTGACTTTTCAAAAGTTACATGCATAGGTAGATTTTATCACTTAAGAATTTCATTTTAGGACAGTTAAAAGGGCATTATGAAACATGTTACAAAAAAGGCCCACTGGGTCTAACAGAGTTGTGAACCATTGACAAGAGTATTTTTAAGAATAAATTTTATTTAGCAAGTGGCCTCCTGCAGTGCCAGCATCCCATACTGGCATTGGTTAGACAGTAGAAGATGGCCAAAGTCCTTGGGCCCCTGCACCTGTGTGGGAAGACCCGGAGGAAGCTCCTGGCCCAAGGACTTTGGCCATCTTCTACTGTTTTCCCAGGCGATAGCAGAGAGCTGGATTGGAAGTGAAGCAGCCAGGTCTCGAACCAATGCCAGTATGAGATGCCGGCACTGCAGGAGGCGGCTTAACCCACTATGCTATGCCACAGCACTGGCCACTTGCTAAATACTTTGTGTTAATTTTATACTTACGCCTCCTAATAGTCTGTGGGTTTATCATGCAGTCTTAAGAAAAATGCCATTTTGAAAGAACATTTTTTGTGCCAGTAATTTCAAGTAAAATTTATTCTTAAAAATACTCTTGTCAATGGTGCCGGTGCACCGCGCTGATCCGAAGCCAGGAGCCAGGTGCTTCTCCTGGTCTCCCATGCAGGTGCAGGGCCCAAGTACTTGGGCCATCCTCCACTGCACTCCCGGGCCACAGCAGAGAGCTGGACTGGAAGAGGGGCAACCAGGACAGAATCCAGCGCCCCGAGCGGGACTAGAACCCGAGGTGCCGGTGCCACAGGCGGAGGATTAGCCTATTGAGCCATGGCGCTGGCCCGCAATGCAATCTTGAGCAAGTCATTGAATTCCTCTAAATTTCAATTACACATCAGTAAAATTGAACTGCTGGTATGATTAAATGAAATAAAGTGTGTTCCACTGTTACTAACTACCAGTTACAACACTAAATGCATGAACCTCACTGGAAGAGTCAGTAATGGTGGCTGCTGCCGTTCTACATTCTATTCAACTGTCATTCGACATATGTTACTCCTCTCTAACTATCATGCTGACAGTGATACCCTAATCAAAATTGGAATATTAGTATTTTAAGGACTAATCTTTTCTTGGTTGTCTTATATGTTAAAATATTAAAGTATCTGGCAAAATCAAACGTACCAATCATTTATCACCTGACAACAGTCTTGTTTCAGTCATTAACCCTCAGACACATACATGTATGAAATGACATACACACAGGGTCATTTAAAATATTAAAGCTATCTTTATACAAAAAGGACCTTAATTTAGTAAGCATTCTACTGCCTCAGAAAGTACTGTTTCAATCATCCTTACCTCTAACCTCTGTGTCTGATCCTTGCCCAAAAGGTCACGAACTTCTTCATTATATATTTCCAAATAAGAAACTCGAACCAAAAACCTACAAATAAAACATTTTAAAAAAAAAGTAAAATAAGAACAGTTTAAAGTATTTTTACAACATCTGCACATATATGTCCTTCCCATGCTTGCATTCTCAATATTAGAAAATAAAAATTCTCTTTTACCTTGTGTCACCCTCTGCCTTTGCAATATGACCAAATATATGAGCAAATGAATTGGGAATGATTCCTCTAAGTTCAGGAACAGCTCGAACACCTTCCATGGTGAAAGTTTTGCCTGTTCCAGTTTGACCATATGCAAAAATAGTCCCTGAAAATAATGAAGGGAAACAGTGACTTGTTGTAGTCTCACGCTACAAGAAATAGCTCTTAAAATGAATTCCTTTGACACCATGACGGAATTTCTTCCTTGGATTCAAAATTTAATTCAGCACCAAAGTTTGCCTTTATCATCAACAATTACAATATATACTCTGTGCCACATGAACAAAGCACTGTTAAAACACCAGAGTCAATCAGATAATCCCACTTATTAATAATAAGTGTTCCAGACCCTAAATGCAAAAATTTTAATTATAATCATAAGCAATTTCTTACTATATATATATATACATATATGTGTATATGTGTATATATATCCACAAATTACTTATTATGGGCATAAACTGAAGAAATTAGTATAAGAACAGCAACATACAGGCTTTAGGGCACAGACACCTCAGTCTGAATCTACATTTTCCACTTTTTAGCCACCTGACCTTGAACAAGTTATCTACCCAGAGACCACCTCCTCAACCACAAAAAGGTGACAGGAATAACTACTCTACATTGATGGAACCAAAAGAAGCAATTTATTTCAAGTAACCAACATTATGCCTGGTATAAAATACCAATAAAAGATAGCTCTTTTCTTCTTTTTTCAATTTGTTTTTTATTTTTATTTATTTTAAAGATAGAGAGATCTTCCATTCACTAGTCCACGTCCCAGATGATCACAACAGCCTAGACTGGGCCAGGCTGAAACCAGGAGCCCAGATCTCAAGCTTCGTCTCTCATATGGGTGGCAGGGATCCAAGTACGTGAGTCACCACCTGCTGCCACCCAGGATATACATTAGCAGGAAGTTGGAATTAGGAGCAGATCCAGGACTCAAACCCAGGCACTCCATTATGGAATACAGATGTCCAAAGTTGGGACCAAAAGTGGTGTCTCAAGCACGGGCCAAATGAACATACCATTAAATTTATTTTAAAACTCTTTACTTATTTATTTGAGAAGCAGAAAAAGACAGAAAGACAAAGAAAGCGTGTGCATGAACATGTGAAAGCAAACTCTCATTGGTTGGTTCATTCCCCAAATGCCCATAAAGAACATATCCAGGAAAATAAAGTCAGTCCAGGTCTCCCATGTAGGTGGCAATTATTTGAGCCATCACCACTGCCTCCCAAGATCTGCATTAATATGAAGCTGAAGTCAGATGCTGGAGCTTGGGATTGAACCCAGGCACTCCTATATGGGGGGTTGTTTAACTGCTAGGCTAAGCCACCTGCACCTGCTTTTCATTTATGAATACTAAAATAAGTTCTTTATTCAAAAGAAATGTAACAGCTGTAAGAACTAGGAAGTGTCAACAAAAAAGATGTTAATTATTACTAGTAATTAAATACAATCTAAGTTTTCTAAATACCCAAATTCATTCATTCAACAAATAGAGACTAGTGCTAAGCAGCAGCAACAGAGTGGCAAATTGAGAAAAAACACAATCCTCACTAATATTGTGTGTATAATCTTGGGGAGGAGATACTGGCAGAACAATTACAAGCATGATGCAAACCAAGAATGAGAAGCGGTACTAGATGGTAGTAAAGGACATAACCTAGGCTGCAGAAAAGCTGTGGAGAGAAGCAACAGGAAGTCAGGAAAGGTTTTTCAGAAGAGAAGGCTTAAGATACCATCTGATGAACAAGTAATCAGGAACAGAAGTCAACAGGCAAGAAAGAAGAGATTGTGAAAAACTGAAATAAGGGGCCAGCGCTGTGTTATAGTGGGTAGGGCCGCCAACTGCAATGCCAGCATTCCATATGGGCACCAGTTCTAGTCCCGGCTACTTCCGATCCAGCTCTCTCCTGTGGCCTGGGGAAGCAGTAGAAGACAGCCCAAGTCTTTGGGCCCATGCACCTTTGTAGGAGACCCGGAAGAAGCTCCTGGCTCCAGATAGGATGGATCAGCTCCAGCCATTGTGGCCAACTGGGAAGCGAACCAGCAGATGGAAGACCTCTCTCTCTCTCTCTGCCTCTCCTCTCTCTGTGTAACTCTGACTTTCAAATAAATAAATAAATAAATAAAATGAAGGAAGGAAGGAAAGAAGGAAGGAAGGAGGGAGGAAGGGAGGGAAGGAGAGGGAAGGAGAGGGAAGGAGAGGGAAGGAGAGGGAGAGAGGGAAAGAGTGAGAGAGAGAGGGAGGCCGGCGCTGCGGCTCACTAGGCTAATCCTCCGCCTGCGGGGTTCTAGTCCCTGTCGGGGCGCCGGATTCTGTCCCAGTTGCTTCTCTTCCAGTCCAGCTCTCTGCTGTGGCCCGGGAAGGCAGTGGAAGATAGCCCAGGTCCTTGGGCCCTGCACCCGCATGGGAGACCAGGAGAAGCACCTGGCTCCTGGCTTCGGATCGGTGCAGTGCCGGCTGTGGCAGCCATTTGGGGAGTGAACCAACGGAAGGAAGACCTTTCTCTCTGTCTCTCTCTCACTGTCTAACTCTGCCTGTCAAAAATAATAATAATAAAAGACAGACAGAAAGACTGAAATAAAAACAGAATGGAAGATAGAGATGGAAAGGGAAATAGATGCAGACAGGGCTAAACAAAGTGGCCGGGCGAGTCATGAGGACCACATTAAAGGTTGTAGATCTGGGGCCAGCACTGTGGTGCAGCCAGTTAAAGACCCTGCCTGCAGCACCGGTATCCCATACAGGCTCCACACTTCTGATCCAGCTCCTTCTTAATGTGCCTGGGAAAGCACATTGGGCTCCTGCACGCATGTGGGACCCCTGGAAGAAGCTCCTGGCTTCAGATAGGCTCAGCTTCAGCCATAGCAGCCATTTGGGGAGTAAAACAATGGATGAAAGATCTCTGTCTCTCTCTGTAACTCTGTTTTTCAAATAAATAACATAAATCATTAAAAAAAAAAAAAAAAAAAAAAAGAGCTGGGGCCAGCACTGTGGCGTAGCGGGTTAAAGCCCTAGCCTGAAGTCCTGGCATCCCATATGGGCACTGGTTCAATTCCCGGCTGCTCCTCTTCCGATCCAGCTTTGCTATGGCCTGGGAAAGCAGTAGAAGATGGCCCAAGTCCTTGGGCCCCTGTACCCATGTGGGAGACCTGGAAGAAGCTCCTGGCTCCTGGTTGCTGGCTCCTGGCTTTGGATTGGTGTAGTTCTGGCCGTTGCGGCCATCTGGGGAGTGAATTAGACCTCTCTCTCTGTCTCTACCTTTCCCTGCAACTCTTTCAAATAAATTAAAAAACTTAAAAAAAAAAAAAAAAGAGCTTATAGATCTGATCCTAAGAGCAAAGTAAAGGCACAACACAATTTTTCAGAGGAGTAACATCATGATTACTGTGGCTATCCTGTTGACAAAAAAATAAAAAATAAAAACAAACACTGGGAGAGAGCAAGGATAGATATGGAGAAATCAATTAGAGGGCTGGAGTAGCTGGCCAAGAAATGGTGTAGCATGAAAAGACAGCCTAGGACATAACAGCATAAATGAAAAGGAACCTCATTTACGACTATTCAGTTAACCTCAATATCATGTTCAGACCTTTTTGTGAAAATAAATTAATCATCTCAGGAGTCACTGTTCACACATGGGAATAAAAAAAAAATCTCATTTTTTTTCTAACTGACTAAATGTTTCAAACTCTACCATTAGGAATAACATGACATTCAAAGGCACTGGAAATAACACGAACTCACTGACTGCATTTTAAAACAGGCACAATCAATTTAATAAATAAATAATAAGCTTTAAAAGGACAACAGCTACCATTTACTGATCATTTGCTATGTGGTAGGCCATTGTATCTCATTTAATTTTCACTCCAATCCTGACAGGCAATATTTGAATCTCCCCAATTTAGAAAAACAAAGGCTTACAGAAATTAAGTGACTTGGTTAATGTCATAAGTGACATAAGAGGTAAGATTTGAATACAGTCCATTTGGCTCCAGAGCCCATATATTTTTACTAGTATTTAATGGCCAAAACAAAAATGTAACTCAAAATTAATTTTAATAAGAGTTTCTACAAATGCATTAAATACATGAAGAATACTAATTTTTAAAAAGATACCATTTTATAACCTGAGAAAGGAGGACCACAGATCCCATAGAATTTCTAGCCTTTTTAAAAAAATTTTTAACTTATTTTTTATTTATTTGAAAGTCAGAGTTACAGAGAGAGAGAGAGAGAGAGATAGCTTCCATTTGCTGTTTCACTCCCCAAGTTCCCAAATGGCTGTAATTGCCAGGGCTGGGCCAGGCTGAAGCCAGGAGCCAGGAGCCTCTTGCCGGTCTTCCCTGTGGGTGAAAGGGTGGAAATGCAGCAGCTTGGTCTGAAACCAGCACCCATATGGAATGCTGGCAGTGCAGATGGAAGCTTAACCTGCTATGCCACAATGCTGGCCCATTTCTGGCTTTTAAGTGTCGAACTTACCAGTTATAATGCTCTATAGTTTCTCCTTCAACATGAATTTCTCTAAAAATTTAGTTAAAGAATAGTTTAAGTTTTTTTTTCAAAGATTTATTTTATTTATTTCAAAGAGTTACAGAGAGGCAGAGACAGAGAGACAGAGGTCCTCCATCTGCTGGTTCACTCCATAAATGGCCTCAAGGACCAGAGCTGAGCTGAATGGAAGTCAGGAGCTTCTTCTGGATCTCCCATGTGGGTGCAGGGGCCCCAGGACTTGGGCCATCCTCCACTGCTTTCCCAGATGCATTAGCAGGGAGCTGGATCGTAAGTGGAGCATCCAGGACTCGAACCAGCGTCCATATGGCCGGGCAGGGCTTTAACTTGCTGCACCACATGACCAGCACTAACAGTTAAATTTTAAAAACTAAAAATCACTTGTAATATTACCCAGGATCCTCCTTTCCTGACTGCATATTAAAAATGTAGATGGCAGGCATTTAGCCTAGTGGTTAATTCACCAGTTAGGAAACACATCACATAAGAAAATGCCTGAGTTCAAGGCAGCTCTGCTCCCGATTCCAGCTTCCTGCTGATGTATACCTGGGAGAAAGCAGATGAAGGCACAAGTACTG